TCCGACTAGAGATTGCGGCGCACAGTTAGTTTCTAGTTAACAGGCGTAACGCCAACTTCGTCCAAGTTGACCTCGTCCAACTGAAATCTGGCCACTGGTCCCCGGTCATTTCGTTGCGTGTTAGACTCCTGCAGCATCATAACGGCTGCTCGCATTGAGAAACTGTACCGTTCATGAAGCAATACAAGCTAATAGTAATCGACAACTATAATTGTATAGCAAATGATCATAGTTATCGAGAACTCCAACTTCCCGCCTGATATGTTTGTCCTGCCGTGCCTCGACACTGCCTAATCCGTTGCCAATCGTACATCTCGATGAAGTGCGTGCACAGAGATTTTGTAAACGATTGCAATACGTATTGAAATCCTCCCATTTAACCATCTGGCTGCCCTCGACGAATAGCTGCATTCATCAGCATTCTTTTTCGCTGTTAAAAAACAACTTAACAAAACAAGTGGAGATAATGTCTGAAAAACGTCTATGACCGGTTTTTTAAATTAATGACAAGCTGAAAAGAGTGTAAGGTTAGGAAGTGCAGGGGCAGAAGACGGAGAAAAAGCGAATGGGAAAGAGAGGAGGATGTGCTTAGAAGCGAATAAATGAGACCACAGGAAGCATGTGTTGCTCATTCCAGGTTAGAGAAAGTGGTTTTTGAGGTAGGTTTTCCTTACACAGGAAAGGCAGTGGTTCGGGCTTGTGGTATCGCTGCTTCTTGTTCGCTTCATTTAAAAAGAGGCATCTAATTTTGACGCCTTTTAGCCAGAACAATGTACTCAACCAAAATAACAATCAGTTTCTGCCTTTACAATATTTTTGTGCGTTTTTGCATATATGCAAATGCAACCTAGTCGAAAGCGTGTCGGCTGTTGGTGCGAGGGTGCGTTTTTTGCACAGTTCCCCCGCAGGTTTTTTTTGCCAGTGGCACATTCTCCTCACAGATGCTTCCAGCTAAAAGAATTGGCCACCACGATTGTTAGAAATTATTACAATGACTCCCAATCCATCCCCAAAAAATTCAGCGCCCTAGATGCTTCGGTTGCGGAGTTACGTCAAATTTCACGTGTTCATGCGTGGGTAGCAACGCGAATGCTTTCTTCGCTCTCTGTCACTCAAACACGGTCCCTGGGCAGCGCTCAGAAGCTTTCAGCACCCAGTCCGCTCTGGTTGCACAGTTACGTCGGATTTCACGGGCTCGCATGTGAGTGACAACGTGAGTGTTTTCTTTGCTTGCGGTTACTCAAGCATGGTCCTGGGCAGCGCTCAGAAATTTTCAGCACTCAACCTGCTCTAGTTGCAGAGTTACGCCAAATTTCGCGTGTTCGTACGTGAGTACACTTACGTGAGTACAATTTCACGTATTCGTATGTGTGTTTTCGCGTCCGTTTGCTCAAACACGGCTGTGGGCAGTGCTTAGAATTTTCAGCACTCCAGCTGTTTTAGTTGCGGAGTTACATCATATTTCACGTGTGCACACGTGAAACGTACGTGAGACGTGAAGGTTATGCGTAAGTAATTTTTGCACGCATCAGGCCAAAAGCCACTATAAGTTATGCTCAGAAATTTTCGGTTTTCTGGCTGGTTCAATTCTGAATTTACAAAAGCGCATGCTTGAAACTTTCATGTGTTCTACGTGAGATGCAGAAGGGCCTGACAACTCAATTTACTTTCACGGGCGCAACAGTAGGCGACAAGTAATGCTGCAAAATTGCAGCTTTCTACAGCTTATTGGTCAGCTTAAACCTGGGGTTGGTATGATGCCAGCCTAGACTTTGATGTACGTACGTGAGACCTAGGGGGATGCGTGAAGGCTGGATTTGAAATCTTTCGACTAGATGCGGCCAAGGAACATCTCTGTGAAGTTCCAGCCTGCTAACTTGCGTAGTTCCCGAAAACGCTTTCCCGCCAAGAAAATCTTCATGAGCCCCTTTGTGAGAACCACATGGAGCTGAGTGCCGATTTTGAGGATACGAAGCCGCATGCACGTATAGATTAAGTCACTAAATTTTCAGCCCTGTAGCTTCTGTGGATCTCGAGATGAAAACCTTTTACAGACGCACACACAGACACGCATATACACGCACAGACAACCCCTCAACATATGCGTTTTTGCATTGCACAGATGCAAAAAACGCACAAAAACCCATACTATGACGACCCGTATGTGTAT